TACATGGTTCCCAATTGTATTAAGTAGATGAGAAGCTGAAATCCTAAAATGTTCATCTTCCAACTTTCCCCAGTCTGTGGTCTGTCTTTGGATCAGCAATAATTGCCTGAACAGCTACTGTGGCTTCATGAATTTTTGTCCGTGGCTCTCTGAGCTCTTCTATATGCAGCAATCGCAGAATTTGAGCAGCTTCATTAAGAACTGCATCTCCTGTGTCTAAACCAAGAATATGTTTGTCTAAAGCAACAGGCAAGCCCTCTTTCGTTTGATTTGCTTTAGCAACTGCATCCTGGGTCAGGCGCTCCTGGACCAAAATGCGAATTGCCTTAAGCATTACCAGGTAATCATCATGACACTGAATCTGAAGAAGGTTAGCCAAAGCCATTACACCAGCCTTAAAATCAGGATTATTTACATCCAAGTCGATCAATGGCTCTGCATTTTTAGCTGCATGGTCAGCATTTTTTGTATTACCAGGTACCAAGTCCTTGTATTTTTCAGCATTATCTCCATATTCAAGTCTAACAGCTAAACCAAGAAGCCAGTCAATTGCTTCTTGTCAATCTTGAATCTTGAAAGGACAGTTAACATCTTTGGTACTTTTCAAAGAACTTGGGCCAGTCACTGCTGTGGATGTTTCTTAAATTACCTCTGTCTTCAGTCTTGTAGTGTCTGATTGGTCCTCAAGCCAAACAATAAAGTTTCTAAATTCTGTTGCATCTTTGCAGTTGAAGCCAGCCAGGTTGTGGTAGTCGAGGGCCATCAGCTTGTGTCGGAACATGGTCCCCGCATCTCGCCCTGGTCCCCCGGGCTTCGGCAGGGAGAGGACAGGCGGGAAGAAAGTATCTTTTTGTTTGTTTCCTAATTCACTAATTATCCTAATTTCCTAATTATCCTCCATTTTTACTCATCTATTTTAAAAAGTATTTTTCTGAGGCCTAATATTGCTAGGCACTGTATTTAAGCTTGATCTTAGCCAAAAGGTTGAGAAGCAATGGACACTATAGTTACAACTCAGAAAATACTTTGGCTTAATAAGGAATTTACATTTTTGAGTTATTATTTCATAAGAATCTTTTTATTTAAGTTATATCATAATGGAGTTAACCATTGCAGTCTTTTTCAATTCTTACATTTTTGAAACAAGATGATATATATCAACTGTGCACTACCATCTCTTGGAGGGAGGGGAGAAGTGTGCAGAAGGGAGTCCACCTTGGATCATGAACTGCAAGAATAAAATAGTTGTGCATAAAAATACTTGTCTCTGAACCAAAATAAAACTGGATGATTTATTCAGTATGAAAAGTAGTAGATTTAAGGAGAAGTCAAAAAATTACACAAACACAACAAAACTACAACGATATGTTGGTTAAGTAGAAATTATGACTCCATCACTTTAAGAAAGAGAAGTTTTAGTAATTTTTCTACTCATGCTGAGAATATTCTTTTACTTACAATGACTACTTTGAAGTATATGAATATTTTCTCTTGAACTAGGTTTAATATATGTTTATATCATAGAACTCATCGTTTCTCCAAAATAAGCTTACCCCGAAATCAGTAAAGATTTGGAAGATTCATTGTAGTTAAAATGGGGGTCATGAAGGGCAAAAGCCCATGTTTTTCAGCCTTTGTGAAAGAATCCATTGATGCAGCGTGACAAGTAAGTACAATTTAGTGGCTCCCCCGTTATTTTAAGCAGGTGGCCTTCTTAGAGGACACGCAAATAAAGTCAGCACAGATCACCTCTGACCCAGGCGTGGGGCCAGAGGTCAACTCCCAAGGGCTGTCCAAAGTCTTTCTTCCCCATAGTGCAGTTCTGACTCTTGTCTGGGGCCACAATCCCTTGATAACAAGAGTTTTTTACTGGAGAGAATTTGATGTGAGTGTATTCGGTCTTGCTAACATAATTCCATATTGTGTCTGCTCAGCAGGAGAACTTTTATTTTAGAAGGAGATTTACTGGGAGTTAGCTCTCTGTCCATGGGGCAGGGAGTCCCTTGGCTCTTCAGACTGTGTGCTTTCCCGTCTGCTGTTGCCGGTCCTGACTCTTGGAAGTGACGATTGCACAATTGGAGGGGAACATGAGTCTTCTGATTGAACTTCTTTTCCCCCATTTGAGAGAAATGGGTTGAAAATAGAGGAAACACATTTCACACCTCCCGGCATTTAATATCTTGGCTCCTTTTAGTTCCCAGTTTTGCTCTGAAAGCATCGGAATGACCAAAAGATGCATGCTCCGTTCCGCTGCAGCCAGTAGACCAGCTCCTGGATCAACACGAACCACACTCTCCCTTTGTCAGCCTCTATCCTGCCTCAGCTAAAAAAGTTAATGATGAAGCATTGAATTTTCACGTCGGTAAAACTAGCATAAACAAGCAGGCAGGGGAGTGGTGTTCTCTGCAGTAGAAGCTGCCCCCGTGGCTTTGGTCGGACGGGCCGAGATGCACAGGGTTCTTCCTGGGCCTTCTCACCGGGTGTGGAGGCAGGCCTGCCTCCCACTGAAGTCGGCTCTGGGGCCCATAGCATGGCGGCCTCCAAAGCAGCAAAGTCTGGGTAATGTTCTTCCAACTAAATGTGCCTTCGACCCCCAGAGCTGATTCAAGGGATGGGGCAGCATGGCTGTGGCTGAATGTGATCAGACATTTCTTCAACTACAAGATGCTGGTTCCTTTTCCCAAATCCACGCCCTCCCCCCCCCCACCCACACACAGACACATTATGAAGGCATCGCCAAATGCCCACGTCAGAATGTAGTCAGGCAGGGAAACTGCTATAAAGTACCTGCTGTGGGTTATACACAGGCAACTGGCAAAAAAAAAAAAAATGGCAGCAGTTGCCACCAATGGCCTTTGTGTTTGGGGTCCCAGGGCCAGAAGAGTAAGTGTGGGCTTCTTTCTGGGGTCCCTCGGATATGTGCAGCCACTGTAGTAACCAGAGAAAAATGTCACTGCTCTGCTAGGAACAGTAACTTAACAGGGATAAGTAGCCATCCACATAAGTGAAGTTTGAAAACACAGGAAGTCATACTCCCCACCCCCCTGCACAAGCAGGCTGTGTGCCGAAACCTTATTTGTAGTTAACTGTTTGAACGCAGAGCATGTTTTCTCCAAGACATGTTACAAATGGTAGCTATATTCCAGGCAGGCCTCAGAAGCCTTTTTAGTCCATAATATACCTAAAGTACAGTCCTGTGCAATTAGCAAGACAGGACCTAGCTGCGCCTCACAGTGGGAGAGCGTACCCCGTGGCCCCCTCACCACACTCTCGGGGAGCAGGTGGTTAGTGAGGCCAACGGGTGCATGGATGTCCCCCACCTACGGCTGTCAGGGGTGCAGCGGGCTTTCCGGTCCCTTTCCTCCTCACCGCCTCTACCGGGGGAGCCCCCTTCCCAGTGCGAAAGGAGGCCTCCTCGGCCACATTGTCCAAGCGGCGCGTATCAAGCGGACACGTGCACACGAATCACGTGGGAATTGCTAAAATTGCAGATTCTGATTCAGCAGGCCTGCGGCGGGTTCTGAGATTTGAGATTTCAAACAGGCTCCCAGTGATATCGATGCTCCTGGTCCACAGACCCGTGTACGAGAAGAGCATCGTGGACAGGCGGCGGGGGGGGGGGGGGGGGGCGCGCGCACGGCAGAGGGGGAAATGCCAAGTCAGTGCAGAAGCAAGTGAGAGAGCTGAGCTCTGTTGCCAGGTGGGAACACAAGGGCGAACCGTGGAGCTGTAAGTGCTAGCTGTTTCACAGCCTCATCTCACTAGGATGTTCTCCGGCCAGGACAGACAGGAGTTTTGCAAGGCGCGGCACTTAATCCTCGAAGAAGAGCAAAGCTAAGCACAGTCCCAGGTGTCTTTCCTCCAAACAAGTGCATGCAACATTGCTTTATGAGCATCCTTTTTGTGCAAAGTGCAATATTAAAGCATAGTAGGAAATACTAAAATAATCAATAAGGAGTAGAACCTCCAGGAGCCTCACAATCTAGGTCCTAGACTGTGTTTTAGTGTGTGTCACCGGGGGAATCCGCAGTTTTCTCCAGGATACCAAGGGTTTCTGGTGCAAGTGGGCAGAGACGCACTTTGATAAACTGGACACACTGCAGCAAAGCAGCGAGGAGTGGGGGCCTGGTTTTAATCAGTTCTCCCCCACCGACTTGCTGGATGTCCTTGAGCACATGCCTTTGTGCCTGAATGTGCTCTGTGCTATCCAGAAAGTGGGGCTGAAATTAGTACCCACCTCTCAGGGTGGTGGGGGATTTAATTAAGATAATCCGTGTAAAACCCTTAACCCACAGAGTGCCCCAGCGGTCGTGGTGGTGGTTAAATGAGTCATTTGAGGTTATAGGCCTGGAGTTCAATTTCCCATTTTGCTACTTATTACCTGTGTGACCTTGGGCAAGTGGCTTAACCTCTGTAAACCTCCGTGTCCTTCCTCGTAGCATGGAGATAATAAAAGTACCCACCTCACAGGGTTGTTAGGAGGGTCAAAAAAGGGAAATGTGGCACCACATCTGGTGCATGGTAAGCGGTCAGCAAACATCAGTTACTGTTCTTACAGCGGGCAGAGCAGCTGGTTCCAAACTGTCCTCCGAGAGTTGTAGATTTTACAAAAACGTGTCTTGGGGGTGAGGAAAAGGCTATTGTTCACTTCACCCACCCCCACTGGCCCCTTCAACCAAAGGGGTTCAACTTTTTTAAAGCTGTCATCTAGAAAGAAAGGGTTTGAAAATCAGTCTCGGAGCTGTGATGTGCTGTGGGGTCATGGGGGGAGGTAAGTGGTCTCCATTTTCAGGAAGTTGACATTTGCCTTTTCTATTTCATTTCCTAAACAAAGACTGAAATAGCAGATGGTGAATTTAGAGAGCTACAGGTACATGGGACCTAAAGTGACGGGAGGCTGAATTGAATTATGTAGATAATTCTGGTCATTAGATGTACCATGTTCGGAGTGATTGCTTGGCAGCATCTGCTAATAGCTCATGTTCTGTTTTCTCCTCTAGATGAGCACCATGCCGGGACTGCCGACCCGGCCCTGCTTCTATGATATAGATCTTGATACAGAAACAGAGCAAGTTAAAGGCTTGTTCTAAATGAACCCAACTTCCACAGGACCCAATTCAGGTAGGCTACTTGTGATTTCTACTGGTTTTTTTTCCTCCCTCACCCCCCCCAGCCAAATGTTTTTTAGTTTTATTTTGTTTTGGTTTTCTAATATGTACTACAAAATATGGTCTGATAAGTAATTTCCTGACTTGGTTACTGTGAATTCCTACCTAATAAGAGCCTGTGGCTTGGGCCACTCCTAGACGTAGATATACAGTTAGATGGGCTCCTGTCCAGTAAGTCAAATCATGTCCCCTCTGAGTATAGATTTGTTTAAGGCATCTCTTGCCACAAAAAAGGAGCCCTGTGGGGGCGCCTGGGTGGCTCAGTGGGTTAAGCATCTGCCATGGGCTCAGGTCACCATCCCAGAGTCCTGGGATCAAGCCCTGCAGCGTCAGGCTCCCTCTCCCTCTGCCCCGCCCCCTCTGCTCATGCTGTCTCTCGCTTTCTCTCTCTCAAATAAATAAATAAAATCCTTAAAAGAAAGAAAGAACCCTTAAACTCATAAGAAGAATATTTCCAGAATTAAAGCTAATAGAGTGTGCCTCTATGTTCACACGTCTACGAGGCACACAAGCCCACCCCACCCTGCGGTGGATAGTACTGAACACCGCGTATACCGTGCCTTGGCCTGTACGCGCACGCATGCGGTCAAGTTTCATTTACAAATTGGGCACAGTAAGATTAACAACGATAACTGCTGATAAAAGAGAATAATCGTAACATGCCATAACCAAAGTTATACGAATGTGCTCTTTTTCTCTCCGTCTCTCAAAACACCTTATTGTCCTGCACCCGCCCGTCTTCACGTGATGACGTGAGACGATAAAATGACTATGGCTACGTGATGCGGTGACGTGAGGCAGTGACGGCGGCGTCATGACATAGCTTTAGGCTGCTGTTGACCTTTTGACACCAGGTCAGGAGGATCATCTGCTTCCAGACCACACCGCTTGTGGATAACTAAAACCGTGGAAAGCGAATCCGCAGATGCGGGGGGACTGCTGTGTCTGCAGTCCTTTTAAAAAGCATAACTCTAGCTTCCTACCGCCCCTCTCTCGGCACAGAGTCAGACTCCCGTGACAGAGGAGTTGGCGTGCGTCCCTTCCCTAGGGCTGCCCTAACAGCTTCGCACAACGGGACAGCTCAAAACAACAGAAAAGTCTTGTCCCGCAGTTTTGAAGGCTAGAAATCCCGAGTCAAGGTGTCGGCCAAGTCATGCCCCCTCAGAGACTCCCCGTGTCTTCCCCACTTCTGGGAGCTCCCAACAATCCTTGATGTCCCTCAGCTGCAGCCGCATCACTTCGGTCTCTGCCTACCCGGCCACAGCCTCCTCCCCGTGTGTCTCTCTGTCTTCCCGTGGCAATCTCTTCTTGTAAGGACATCAGTCACATGGAGTCAGGGCCCACCTCACTGACCTCATCTTAACTCGATGACATCTACAAAGACCTTATTTCCAAATAAGGTCGCCGTCTTCAGTCCTGGGGGTCAGGACTTCAGCCTGTCTATTTGGGGACAGTTTAACCTGTAACACTCAGCTGCGGCAGAACAGATGCATTCAGCTCTTATACCACTGGAAAGACACATGGAGACGGGACAGGTCCTCTAACGCAGAGTGCCCAGTGAGTCATAGGAAGGACAGAGCAGCAGAAATGAGACCCCTTGATCACTCAGGGTCCACACAGTTTAAGGGGGGGCTGGGCTCAACTTGGAGCTCCCTTAGGCAGCCCGCAGTGGGGGTCCCTGGTCTTACTCATGTCTCCCCCTCAGTACTGCAGCCACACCTGCTGGCTACTGTCCTCGCTTCCGTTCATGAAGAGAAATGACCAACCTCCTAATCGTGCTGCCTGAAAAACTCCCCATCAGCGGTTGTAAAGGCTTGAAGCGGCTTTTCTCCATCCCATATATCAAACATGTCCTCACCATATTCTCAAAACACATTCCTTTTCCCGAACACCCCAGTGCAGTACCCCCACTCCTGTTGCTGTTCCTTAGCCCATCACGCCTCCCTCCTGCCAGTACACCTGCCAGATGAACTTGCTTGACCTAAAGAGCCTTTTCTCCAGCTGCCTGAGTGATGGCCCTGAGCCAGGCAGACAGGAGCCTCACTCTTGGGGGTTTCACGACCGGTAGTCAACATGGGGAGATGGCTTTCTCTCTCTTTTCTTTTTTTTTTTTTGGTAAGTCTTTGTTACTAAAACGCGAAAGACCTAGGCTATGATGAGAAAGGTAAGGGACCATACCTCTGTGAAATTACATTAACACAGGTGTGGGACTGTTTGGTTTTGGTGGCGTGTGGGGTTTGGTGTTGGTCCCTGAGGGGCAGGGGCTGTATTTAGCTTTAACCACAACCATGCTTCCTATCTGTGCCAGTTCTGAAAAAGAAAACTCCACAAAATGAACTCAGGGAGACTAACAAAGAAGCCTGTAAACAGGAGCCTTGATAATGGTGTCATTTGGTCTTCTCACATCAGGAACCCATTATGCTATATCGCCATGGGTCACTTTTCCCCAGAACAAGAGTGTATCATCCTTCATCTCTCGTGGATAGTGCTTTTCCAGCCTTGTGGTCCATTTTCATGTGTTCTCCAAGAAGGTGATAAAAACCCAATTTTAGACCTTAATTATTGCAGTTAAGACTCAGGTAATGCCGAGGGACGCGTCCTTCACTTTCCTGTCTCGTGCACTTAAATCCTTAGGTTTGTGTTCCCTCCGGATTTTATTGAAAGGTTGAGCAAGGGTTGGAAGCCAGGATGTTGGCCTGTGGAGATTACCTCGGTGTGCCAGGCCCTGTGCTGAGCACCTTGCATGGGTGGTCACAGCACCCCGTGGAGGCAGGTGCTTCCCCTGGGGTCTCTGAGAGGGCGTAGCTGAGGAGTGACCCTGACCCACGGGACCGTAGAGCTCTTTCCCCTGCTCGGCCCTGCCTCTCCTTCTGTAGCTGGCACGAGTCGCTTTGCCATCCCTGTCCCACGTCGTGCTGGCATCAACCCAGCGAGGTGAGCAGTTTTATTTCAGCACCACGAAAACTCTGGCCCAGGAAGGCCAGCAGCGTGCTCAAGTCACACAGCTAATAAACACAAATGCCGAGGCTCCACCAGGCCGTGCTCACTCTCTCTCGCCCCATCCTTGATGCCCAAACCAAAGGATGCCCTTTGCATCTCAGTCACAGAGTAAGTGAACTTTGGCCCATTCTAGAAGATGGTAACCAGTTATTTGAGCAGACCTATAATTTTGGGATCACTGGGTGAGCTTTTTTTTATAACAAAAGATATTTATTTGGGTGTTAAAAGCTATGACTTTGTCCAAGCTCTTTTTCGTCAAAGTATAATAGGGCTACCTCCCACTGAACTCTCTCATCGAACGTTGTTTTCTCTTCCCACTCACTCATCCAAGGCTCCTTTCTGCTTCATGAACTGCCCAATCCCGTTTCTAGGCTTGCTGAGCAGTTGTTCAAAACCCATCACTTGACTCTTGCATGCACAACTGGAAAATGGATCCGCTGTTGCAGGAGAAAACCACTATACAAAGCAAACATTCCTTCTTGGGAACTCCTCAATGTATTTTTTGCTGGTTTCTTTTGTTGTTGTTGTTGGGTGTTTTTTTTTTTTTAAGATTTTATTTATTTATATGAGAGAGAGAGAGCAAGCGAGCACAAGCAGGGGGAGCAGCAGGCAGAGGGAGAAGCAGGCTTGCCACTGAGCAAGGAGCCCGATGCAGGACTCGATCCCAGGACCCGAGATCATGACCTGAGAGATTAACTGACTGAGCCACTCAGGCACCCCCTGGACTTCTCAGTATAATGACCCCACAAAACAGTCTGTTTCCTGTGCCTTCACGCATACGGCAGTCAGGGACCACCTCTACTGACAGCCAAAGGTCTGTGGCTATTAAAAGTACAAAATATGAAAATGTGAACCTTTGGATGACAGTCAACTTAGACAAATTTGGGCATTGGAAGAGGAAATGTCCCATAGTGGTCAGACTCCAGATGGTTCCGTGCACTCGGCTGCAGTGTCCTTTGTGGCACGTGCTGCAGACATCTACCACGTGGGAGACTGCACTCCGCTGATGTCTGTTTCTCTCCTTTCCTGCTCAGCTCACTCTCTAGGAAATCGAGTGAGACTTAATATGAACAGGAGACGCCAAGAAGTCACCAGAGTTTGAGTTCTTGCTCCTTTCCAGGGCTCCCCTGTGGTGCTTTCACTATTGTCAGAAAAAGGGCCTGATTCATTCTTTTGGACAGCACCAAACAGAACTAATTAGAATAAGTTGTTTGTCCCAATGGAACGGGCCCTGCCACATTACTCTTCAGTCTTTCGTTCGGATTTTTTCCCTCCCCTTTTGGTATCTCATCCTGAACCTTTATCATACTTCTGAGTCTCAGCAGGTTTCAAGTGGACACAATAAAGTCTGGCAGATTTCCTAAAGAATTCAGATACTCCCTTCGTCCCCATGGGCAGTTAGGCTGAGTACAGCATCAGACTGACTCTAGTCCTGCTCTAGATGTTAGTTATTTACCAAAAAAGGTTTTTCTTGAAGCTCATTTCTTCCTTGAACAACTGCCTTTAGAGCAGAAATGTTTGATGATATTTAATAATCATAAATTCATCTTGAGTGTGGTTGCTGCCCAGCACTTCTATGGGCAGGGTTTGTCATCCCCAGTTTATAAACCACAAGGTTTCGGGGCTCCCGAGGGGAGCACCTGGGCTCTGTGCTTTGGGTCTTTTTTTTTTCTTTTTTAATTTAAATTTTAGTTAGTGAACATACAATGCAATATTGGTTCTGGAATAGAATTCAGTGATTCATCACTTACATATAACACTCAGTGCTCATTGAAACTATCTTTCTAAGGAACCGCTCAAAAACTGTTGATCACCATTGTGCTCCAAGAAAAAGGTCAGTGAGTGCATCATCCTGAGCCATCATCTTTGGAGTACACAGTTGGAAGCCCAAGCCACTTAAATAAAAGATGCTGGTGACTAGATCAGCCATCCTGTCTTTACCATCTCATTGACATCTGTCTAACTAAAATGGAATATTTGGAAGCTTAATAGGTGGGAAGTTCTTATTAACTCTTTTTGGGGACGCCTGAGTGGCTCAGTCAGTTAGCATCCGACTGGATTTCGGCTCAGGTTATGATCTCAGGGTCCTGAGATCGAGCCCCAAGTTGGGCTTCGCCCTGCGTAAGGAACCTGATTAAGATTCTCCCTCCCTCTGTCCCTGCTCCTGCTCATACACTGTCTCTCTCTCTCTCGCTTGCTCGCTCGCTCGCTTCTCCCCCACCCCCCCAAAAAAAGAAGAAGAAAAGAAACTTGTCTGGGCACTCTTTGATTACTTATCAGTCCCATACCAAGATAGAATGTTTCATATATTCTGTCTTCATAAAATTCTGAAATTGGTTTTGGTTTTCTGAATAACTGGTAACACTGAACAGCTGATTCCGTTTTAAATTCTCACCGTAGCTATTGCATTTCCAATTCGTGAAATCTATATTCAGACTTTCTGTACTTCTGCCAACACTCTGCCTTTTCTTAAAACATGGAACCACCTACTCTAAGCCCCTTTAAACACAAAACCACTGGATCCTGAGGTCACGTGGCTAATCAGCTGGTCTTCTACCACGTACCTCAAGTTTGGAAGGTCTTTCCAGACTTGCCCTCCTTGGGTTATTTCCAGTCCACGAAGCCCCCCACCCCCACCCCACTTCCTCCACAGGAGTCACTGAGCCTCAGGTCGAGGAGTAGCACCAGAGCGACTGAAGGAGGCTGGCCACCTCTCTGGGTGGGGGGGTCGGGGGCTACACCAGGCAAACCTCCCTTCCTCACCTCAAAAATACTTCCTTTTTGTTAATGATGATTATGCTTGCAGTACTTGTTTTCTGTTTACTTCCCTGACTTGAGTCAGATGCTAGGGGAGTATTCCGAGTTCCTGGTCCCCTGTCTTCATCCCTGTCTTCTCTTCTGAAGCTAAGCAAGCATCCTTTCTGGCTCCAGACCCCTCCCTCATCTGTGGGAGACCGACTCGCTGTATTCCAGCCAAGTGTGAACTCCTGGCCCCACAGATAAGTTCTTGCATGCATAAATTCAGATTAAAGGCCCAGTACCTGCCTTTACATTTTTTCTGCAGTGGTGACCACATATTTTCTGGAACTGAGGTGTTTGCCTTGTTTGTTCTTTCTAAAATGTAGTTTGATCACTTCTATTTCGGAAAAGATGGCGGGCTCCAGCGGCGTCCGAGACTTTGAGAGAAAACAGCAAACCTTTCAGATCAGTAAGAAGGGTCAGATCTCCTCCCTTCCATTCACGCCCTAAATGCATTTTTCAGACCTCGCTTTCTGTGCCGACCATAAAAGAGAAACCGAAATCTGAGGCGGCAGGATTCCTAATCTGAAATCCCGAGCGTTCTCACTCAGCAGGATCTTAGAGACTGTAGAGCCCAAATTTAGAATTTTGGAATTTCTGCCTGATCTTCTCAGGGGTTCCGATCGCTGCCTGTGGTGTCTACGCAGACTGGGTCACAGAGCGGTGCAGCATCGGATTTTCCACGGCTCTCGAGTAAAAAGATTCCAAACAGGGACCCCGGCCTCGGCCTCGTCTTGTGAAGAGAATCACTTATCTGCTGTTGAATTTTCTTTCGGTCTCCGGCTTTTTAGAGCCCTATTAACAGTTTAACACCACAGGGTAAGCAGCTATTCTTCAACCCCCGGAAACGTGTTTTTGTCTTCCAGGCTCGGGAAGCAGACTGCTCCTTGCCTTTCTGCTGCCGCTGGCGAAGAAAGTGAACTTGAAATATGCCTCTTACGCAACGGGGGAGAAATGGGGAAATAGGCCAAAGATTTATTCTTTGTTCAAGACTGAATTCTGTGTGCAACCGAGGACAGTGTCCAGTAAAAAGGACCTCCACCGAGTTTGAGAGAAACTAATTTATTTTCCGTTTCTGCAGAGTTTACATTATTTCCCACTGCTTACACTTCAGAAAGTTTATTTTATGGGGATGGAAGGATTAAAAGAGTGTGAACTAAAAGGTAGCGGTTTCCACTCTGGAGTTTTCTGTTTTGTCTTTGACCTGCAAATAAACACGTATCTAGAAAACCAACCAGGAAGTTTCCCAGGCCAGATAAAACTCTGCTCTCTAGAGGTAACTGTTCACGCTGGGGTGGTGACCTGACACCAGTCTTCTGGAAAATTGGGAACACAACCAGGGCTTTGGAAACCTAACAAAGAAATCACACACACACTCACACACACACTCACACACTCGCTCACACTCGCTCACATGCACTCACACACACGCACTTGCACACACTCACACTCATACTCACACACTCACTCACACACACAGAAATATCTGGCCCGTTGTGAAATCTTCTGACTGCCAGAGAGTTGTAATACCCTGGAAAACAAAGTACATTTTATATCCAGAACTGTTTTCAGTGCCAGTGAAGTTTGCATCACTTACCTAAAAACTAAAAGGCTGATGCTCATTTCTTCCCCCAGCGAATGAATCTCAATGGCCATTAAGCTCTCCAGGCCCATAGGGCAAAGGAAGGCGACTCTTAAAGGTCAGGTGTTTGGCAAATGTTTGTCCATTTGTCCAACCCTTCATTCGTAGGAAAGAATGTTCTATGGCCTGGACCCCCTTCCCGGGAGTTGCTGACCCTTTTTTGTTTCCATGTCTTCCTACAATAACAAAATTGTATAAAAGTTAAGACAAAACCAAGGATTCAGGAGCAAACAAGAAGTGATTGTCCTCGAAGCAGTATAAGTAAAATAGTCACCATAAATATCTTACATGTCCTGCAGGCACATCCTGCAGGAGACCTTGCCATCGGATCTTTCCTACATCTTCTTGCACTACACCCTTCAGTGACCCTGCTCGGTAGCTGCTCTACCCGTAATGTGTCTTTATGCACAATTTAATTTGTTCCAGAACGTAGCTTAATAACTAGAAAGCCTCGGGGCACCTGGGTGGCTCAGTCGGTTAAGCATCTGCCTTCGGCTGGAGTCATGATCCCAGGGTCCTGGGATCGAGCCCGGCATCGGACTCCCTGCTCCGCGGGGAAGTCTGCTTCTCCCTCTCCCTCTGCCACTCCCCCTGCTTATACTCTCTTGCTCACTCTCTCTCAAATAAATAAATAAAATCTTAAAAATTAAAAAATAAATTTAAAAAATAACAAGAAAGCCTCCCCACACCAAGCCTGTGTCTCAAGAACGATTTTGCTTGGTGGTTCCGAAGGGTGTGTGTGTGGCGCTCCCCGTCCCCGTCCGTTATCGGGGAGTACACCTCTGCAAACATACAACCAACTCGTCAACACTTTGAAGGTCTTAAGAGTCCACAGTAAACTTGTTCTCCATGGGATGCCCTCAGGAAGCAGTCTTGCTCAGAAAATCATTTTTAAGCAGTCGCCTTCTGTTTTTTGACTTTTCATGATTTTCCTCTGCTATTCAATTTCATTTTTGGTTTTTGAAAGTGTTTTTACAAAACATATTTTTAGAAATCCATATTCCACGGGCTTTAGACCAGAGACTTCTTCCGTTACCTCCTTTCACCAGGCAGTTAGCCAATAAATAAACAAACAAATAAATAAATAAAGCATCCCGAACACAGATGTGGGAGAGCTTTTCAAACGCTCACGGTGAACGGCCTGTAGCCCAGGTGTTGCTGGGCACCCCAAACTGTTTTCCCCTTGTGTGGCCTCATTTACCTCCCCTAGATGTCCTAAGGCGAGCTCTGATGGATTTGTTTTCTCCCATTCACTAACCTGCTACAATACACTCCTGCCAAATGATAAGAGGCCTCTAGCAGGTTAATCGACGGGCTTATCAACTCAATGGTTTGAGGCCTTCGTAGACTGGAGAAGGTATTATTTTAGGGAAGAGCTCGTTATCTACCATCTCTTCGGAGGCCAAGGCCTATGGAAAAGAAATCATACAACCTTTGACATGGTGGTTTTAAGTGAGAAATCTTCCCAAGAAGTATAGATCCTGATCTCTCTCTGCCTCTATAATTGACATGGGAGAAAGCACCAACAGACCCAAAATGGCGGGAGACCCCGGTGACCCACCCTGCCACATAGACGAGTGGGGGCTTGCTCCTACCCTGCTCGCAGTCCTGTAGCATCCACCTTGGCAAAGGTTAAGACCCAGACCAAAAGAAGCCTCTGAGAGCTCCCAGGGGAACACACCATGGGGATTAACTGATAACAGGGAGAGATGAATGCAGACTCAGGAAAGTAGCAGCCAGGCCCTTAGCCAAACTATTCTTTACTATTCTTTTTATTCTTCTATTTCTGGGGTTATTTTGTTTGTTTTAACTGGAATGTGCTGACCCTATTAAAACAATATATGAGTATTCTTCACACTAGATATTTAAAAAGAATCCTCAGGTCTGACGTTAGCCAGGTGGGTTGGTTGGTTTGTTTATAATTTACACATTCCCATAAATAAGAGTGTATATGAAACTTAGCTTATTTATTCCAGAAAAATCTGCATACACGTATTCATCCCTTGCTTTTGTATAAATGTGTATGTACGTGGGGGTACAAGTTAACTCATAATAATAAGTACATTTTTGTAGCATTTGTTACAAACCTATAATACATATCCATTGAAGAAGTTAACTACTGTGGCAGACCAGTTGGTTAGTAAACAGACCTTCATGTGGTTCCTTAAACTCTAATAGACAAACTGACCAGCCCCTCCCCAAAAAGCTCTTCTATAGCTACACTTCAAACAAGGGAGAATACACCAGAATTCAGGAGTGCATGAACTTGAATGGGGGGGGGCTCCATCTTTGTTTTTACTAACCTCTGACTGTAATGTAGCAATTCCCTCAATTACGTATGTCAGCAACAAACCACAGCAGTAAAACAGTACCTGTGTCTGCTACCGAAAGAAATCACTGGTATTTTAATATGACATTCCATTTTCTGCAGAGATTCCGGGTGGCATTGATGCTCATCAGGGCCTCAAAATGATAGCTATTAGACCACCACTACCTCGTCACCTCACATGTAAAGAAAGAGCCACGTATATTGCTATCATCAAATTTGATTACCTTTCAGTATTTTAAAAATCACATTCCACTCTCACATTGGCTTGCTTTAAACTCATACATGGCATTTAAAAACATGATTCCAGGGAGCGGTGTACAGATCTCACCACACTGGGAACGGGATCCGTGGCACAAAAAAGGTTATGATGGAATTCTAGCAGCCTACATCCTGCTTCTTTGGTAGCATTGCACTGCTCTGGGGTGTTGGCATGTCTACATTTGTGCCCCAGGTCACTCCTGAGGGTCCCTGCTCTATCCAGGGCTCCTGCTCTGAATCTTAAGATTCTAGTTCCAGGAGTAGTGCAGGCAGGCAACATAAAAGAAGCCTAACTCGGACGATATGAGAGAAGCTCTGCAAAGTGCAGAGTGCCGTGTCAGTGTAGGAAAAGGAAATCAACTTCCGAGTTCCATGACTGAAGGGCTCGTGTTGAGGTGTTCCCCACTGAATCCCCAACCCCCAGAATGATGGACGGGAGAGGGTGGTCATTGATCCATAAGTATTTTCTGAGCGCATTCACCCACCCATTCGTTGAGCCTGTGTCAGCCCACTTGAGACTGGCGTCAGAAGTGAGGCAGAGGCAGTCTTGTTGGGGACCCTGCCCTTTAATCTGTGGGGTCCCCACTAACTCCATGTAGTGGGTGTCAGGACTGAATTGAATTGAGTCGTAGGAAACCCAGCCAGGTGGTGTAGGAGACTTGGTGTGAGACCGTACACCAATGGAGGAATTCAAAACAAAAGGTCTCAGTTCATGTCAGGAGAAAATATTGAGATACATAAGCGTCAAAAGTTTCAGGGGGAAAAAAAAGTTTCAGAAATGACGGGGCAGATTTCATGGCCTCGATGGATTGCCCTGAGACCCCAGATCACGCTTAGAACCACTCTTAAAGGGAGGCCTTCATTTTCAGATTCAGTGAATTGGTCAATTAAGTTTGGTTTGACTTCAAGCCCTTATCCAACAAGAGATTGGCAACATTTCTGCTAAAGCCCATAAACTTCCCCAGAGCAAGCCAGTGTCTAGAACTCTGGGCGGATACCATTGGTGATTGGAGATGAGACAGAGCTAAATAGCCAGTGTCCCCTTACTGGGCAGTTGTTCGTGCAATATGAACTACAGATGCATCATGTTCTGAGCATGGATTAAAATAACCATAGATTCAAGAGACTGTCCAACTCATTAAGATTACTGCTGGGCCTTCCTACGGACCACAGTAAGATGTTGGTTCTATGACAGAAGGTGGATGTCACAAACCAAAAAGAACGGAGAAAATACTTGACGAAGTCAGACCACGTCATTGAGCCTTTGGCATGAGACAAAACAGAATGAAATTCTTCCTGTGATCTCAGCTTTACCATTGCAGGAAGTCATCCCAAGTCATCTAATGCTCATTCCTCTCTGCTGTGTAAGCTCTGGGGTAGGCACCCTTCCCAGGTCCAAAGTACGGTCTCCTGACCTAGCACTGTTTATAGAGTGCCAGGCTATCGGTGTGTCGTTTCAGCTATAATTTTTCATGAACCAGCACTGACTGGCCACAACTGGTGTATTCAATGTAAGCTAAGTGCATATGAGCTAGTTGAACATAGAAATAAATCCTCCCTGGGCAATTAACAGACTCCCAAGCATTTAGGCTAGTTTCATAGGTGTTTTGTTTTGTTTTGTTTTGTTTTGTTTTGTTTTTTAACTGATCCCAGGACTATCTGCATTAGAATTACCCGAGATGCTTGTTAAAAATGCAGCTCCCCGTCTCCATTTAGACCTAATAAATTGGATTCTCTGGAATCCTGGGAATCTGTATTTTGAGAAGTTCACTAAATTTTTCTCCTGCATACTAAAGTTTAAAAATTAACACCAAATCCACTTTTGTATCACCATTGTGCCTAATGCAGTGTATAACAGGTAGACGGGGCTAAAGAAATACTCATTGAAAGAATGAGTACACATTTATAGCCGTCGATCTCCTGGCCTTTTGTGGCCCTGCCTGTATGTTAGGCATCACCACTCTACCTTCTCAATTCGTGATACCTCTTCAGAACCAAGGAATTA